CCCAAACAGAAATTCAGGAGGCAGGGCTACGCACCATCTTCCCAGAGAACGAGGACTATTGCGACATCATCGATCCACGCACCAACAAAACTCTGGCCCGCTACACCCTCAACAGCAACGGCCTCTACACGCTACGCGTCCCTCTCCCACAGGTGTCAACCACCCAAGCACAGGCCACTATCACACCATGCTCATGTCGCACCCTCTCCAACCCGACCATCCTCTACCACCATCGGCTCGGGCACCCAAATTTCCGCACTCTTGCTGACATGGCCTCCAAGAAACTTCTCCTCGGCCTGCCAGCCGCACTTCCCCCACCACCTGACTCACCAGCTCCCACGTGCCTTGATTGCACCAAGAGCAAACTGCGCCAACAGCCCCATGCTGCCTCACCCACAATCGCTGCAGCACCACTGGACCTCGTGCACATGGACGTCTGGGGCCCTGCCCCTGTTCTCGCACGAGGTGGCTATCGCTACTTCCTTATCATTGTGGATGACCACTCCCGCTATGTCTCTGTTCACCTCCTCCACACTAAGGCTGAGGCACCCGAGGTCATCATAGCGTGGGTCAAGCAGGCACAGACCACTTTTGACCGCAAGGTCAAGCGCCTTCACTCGGATGGGGGGGGTGAGTTCTGCAACGACAAGCTCAAAGCCTTCTGCTCCTCCGAAGGTATCCAACAAAACTTCACCCTCCCTGACAGCCCTCAACAGAACGGCATAGCTGAGAGCCGCAACCACACCCTGGTGCAGATCACTCGGTGCCTCCTCAGCCACTCCAACGCTCCTCACTCTCTTTGGGGGTACGCTCTCTACCACGCTGCCCTCCTCTACAACCTTTACCCCCACCCGCACCTTCCCGACACCACTCCAACCACACTCTGGCTCGGGAAAACGCCCACTGCTCGCTCTCTTCGCGTTTGGGGATGCACCGCCTATGTCCTCCTCAACCCTCAGGCTCGACGGCATACCGGTGGCAAGCTCGGTCCCAAGACTCAGACGTGCATCTACCTCGGGCACAACGCCGACTCACCTGACTACCTCTTCCTCAATCCCTCCACTCACCAGTTGGTCAGGAGCCGTGACGTTGTCTTTGATGAGACCCGCCCATTCTACTCCCCTTCGGGACGGGACCCTCTCCCTGATCCACCCTCCCTCGTGTGGGCAGACTTTGATGCGCCTCCCGACCTCCCGCCTGCTCCTGCTCCCTCACCTCCTCCCTCTCCTGCCATCGCACCATCTCCCTCTGAGGTCACTGACCCGGCCTCACCGGTGTCTTCGGCAGCTGCTCCTCCCTCCCCCTCACCTTCCCCACTTCCCGCTGCGCCGCCCCCTCCGAGCGCACCTATCACCTACCATCGGCGGTCCCACCCTCCGGCCCCACCTCCTCCCCCGGCTCCCCCCACCACAGAGGAACCCGCTCTCCCACAGTCGCCCGAGCTGATCACGTACCGCCGGCGACCCCTTCCCCCGCCCAAGCCTGCTAAGTCACCCTCTCCGACCCCGCCAGCCCCACCCTCTTCCCCGGTGGCTCATGGCACTCGCTCACATCGCGCTACTCTTCCACTCGCGATGGTTCTTCGATACACCGCGATCACACCGCCTCCTCCTGCTGGGGGGGATGTGCCCTCTACCCTTCTAGAAGACAGGCATGAGGAACTGTGTGATCTCCATGCAGTCCTTCCTCAGCTCTCACACATCTTCCCCGACATCACTGGCTCACCCTCCCTCAACTTCGCGGAGAACCCGACCATCCCTATCCCTCTCACCGTCCAAGAGGCTCTCTCAGGCCCTCATTCTGCCAAATGGCGTGCTGCCATGGACGCGGAGATTGCAGCATTCACCCGCAACCACTCCTTCGACGACGAGACTCCACCTCCAGGAGTCAACATCGTCGGGGGCAAGTGGTTGTTCCGTGTAAAACAGCTCCCAGACGAGGCACCGGTGTTTAAAGCGCGCTACGTAGCCAAGGGCTTCACCCAGCAGCAGTACCGCGACTTCTTCCTAACCTTCTCCCCCACATCCAAACCTCCCACCATTCGTACGCTCATGGATGTCGCAGCTCGAGAAGACTTCGAGATCAAATCCATGGATGCCTCATCCGCCTTCCTACAAGGACGTCTCAAGGAGACAGTGTTCATGGACAGACCAGAAGGCTTCCCAGGAGATTTCCCTCCCAACACTGTCTGGAAGCTGAATCGCCCCGTCTACGGCCTTAAGCAAGCCCCTCGCGAATGGCACAACAAGGTGAAAGAAGTCCTCCTCTCCCTGGACTTCCACCCTTCAACTGCTGACCCGACTCTCTTCATCCGCCGTCATTCTGAGCCCTTCTACATCCTAGTCTACGTGGATGATTTCATCCTCGTGGCCAAGGACTCGGCCCAGATGACCTCAGTCCAGGCAGCCCTAAGCAAGGCTCTCCAGATGAAAGACCTCGGTGACCTCAAGCACTACCTGGGGATGGAGATCACTCGTGATCGCAAGGCTCGCACCATCTCACTCTCCCAGGAGTTCTACATCGACAATGTGCTCAAGCGATTTGAGATGGAGCTATGCACACCTGTTGCCACCCCGCTGCCGCTGCAACACCTCCTCACAGCTCCAGCGGTACCCACACCAGAGGCCTGCTCTGAGCCATACCCGGAGCTTGTTGGGTCCCTCATGTACGCCATGATGTGCACCCGGCCAGACCTGGCCTATCCTGTCAGTGTCCTCTCTCGCTACGTGGCCCCTGGACGCTTCACTGACCTTCACTGGAAGGCAGCCAAGCGGGTGTTGCGCTATCTTCAGGGCACCAAGTCTCACGTCCTCACACTCGGTGGGCTCTCCCCTCCTCGCCTAGAGGGTTACACCGACTCCTCCTGGGCTGATGACCAGACCGACCGACGCTCCTCTCAGGGGTACTGCTTCACCCTTGGGAGCGGAATTGTCAGTTGGCGCTCCACCAGGTCGTCTGCAGTCTCCCTCTCCTCATGTGAGGCAGAGCTCTACGCAGGCACCATGGCTGCTCAGGAGGCTCGTTGGCTCACCTTCCTCCTCCAGGAACTTGGTTTCCCACAGTCCGCCCCTACCCTCTGGTGTGACAACCAGAGTACCATCCACATCTCTCAAGACCCTGTGTATCACACCCGCACCAAGCACATTGAACTCCGGCACTTCTTCATCCGTGACCTTGTCCAACAAGAGCAGTTGAAAGTGGAATACGTTGCATCTGACTGCAACCTGGCTGATCTGTTCACCAAGCCCCTTGGGAAAGTTCCCCACCACCGTCTCCTTGGCGCCATGGGGCTCTGTGCTCCACCCTCTCTACCCTGAGTTCGATTGACGCCTATGGGGGGGTGTTAGTGTTAGTCTTCAATCTCACAATTTGTACTTTGTATTTTCTATATCCTAGAGTAGTGTAGTTTGCACATTGTGTTTGGTTGGGTGTACACCTACATCCCAACCAAACCCAAATGTAATCTCCAACCAATCTCCAACCCACCAATTGGAGATTGCCTTGGGATTACCCCCAATCCCTAGAGATTGCCCCCGATTCCCTTCCCCATCCTTTTCCTACCCCTCTTGGATGTACTTAAAGAGCTCATTACTAATGCATCGCTTCTAAGCCTATTTCTGACAACGCGCACATGCCACTCCCTACCCCGCAACCTTACAGGTGCAGAACAAGTGGAAGGTGAACGCCGAGATGCTACGGGGCTGTGCAAGCAAGCACATGCACTCACGGGCACACCCACACAAACAGACGTGCACTCAGATACACGCGCACATGCCACTCCCTACCCCGCAACCTTACAGGTGCAGAACATGTGGAAGGTGAACGCCGAGATGCTACGGGGCTGTGCAAGCAATCAAATGCACTCACGGGCACACCCACACAAACAGACGTGCACCCAGATACACGCGCACATGCCACTCCCTACCCCGCAACCTTACAGGTGCAGAACATGTGGAAGGTGAACGCCGAGATGCTACGGGGCTGTGCAAGCAAGCACATGCACTCACGGGCACACCCACACAAACAGACGTGCACTCAGATACACGCGCACATGCCACTCCCTACCGCGCAACCTTACAGGTGCAGAACATGTGGAAGATGAACGCCGAGATGCTACGGGGCTGTGCAAGCAATCAAATGCACTCACGGGCACACCCACACAAACAGACGTGCACCCAGATACACGCGCACATGCCACTCCCTACCCCGCAACCTTACAGGTGCAGAACATGTGGAAGGTGAACGCCGAGATGCTACGGGGCTGTGCAAGCAAGCACATGCACTCACGGGCACACCCACACAAACAGACGTGCACTCAAATACACGCGCACATTCAACTCCCTACCGCGCAACCTTACAGGTGCAGAACATGTGGAAGGTGAACGCCAAGATGCTAAGGGAGCCATGCAGGCAAGCACAGCAGCTGGTGTGCCGGTTCAGAGAGATTGCCATCCGGCACGTGCCCAGGGTAGGTGGTGAACGGTGGGTTGAGAGTACAGGTAGGTGGGACGATTCACTGCTGGCAGTGTGTGTTGAAAAGGGCTGCAACAGCACCGGAAGCAAGCAAGCACAGCAGCTGGTGTGTCGGTTCAGAGAGATCGCCATCCGGCACGTGCCCAGGGAAGGTGGTGAACATCTTTTTTGTTGCTGAGTGGGGTATGTGGTGGCCATCTGTTGACATGCATGCAAGCTGCTGTGCTAGTTGAATGAAATTGCAGCAAGGCAGAGTCATGTCAACACAGCGAGCACATACTGTGACTGTTGTGCAGGGGCGACAGTATTTGTTTACAGTGCTGGTTGGTTGGTAGCTTTTTCAGTGTGGACATTCTTGGATTGTGCCATGCTCGTGCCGTGCGCAGTGCGCGCTGTAAACATGAACTATTCTTTGCCATTCTTACACTAGCGCATCAAATTCTCACATGCTCCATCACCTCCCTCACCACCGCTCACCACCCCTCTACGTCCCTCATCATCGCTTGTCACCGCTCACCACCTCCCAGGAGTGGAACCAGTTGGTGGATCGGCTGTCCAATGAGGCAGTTCCTCTCGCAGGTCAGTTAGTCAGTCCTTTTGAGACGTCTCACAAGTCAGGCCTTTTAGGGCCAGCCAACTAGTGTTGTTGCTCTCTCCTTACAATGTCACAAGCATATGTCAAACTTATAAAAGGGAAAATAACGACGAGCTTGTTTCAGTTCCTACTTCACATGTAAGTTCCAAGGCATCCAACCAAAAAGTCTTATTTTGAAGCCAGGGTATAATGATTGCAGCCTTTGCAGCCTTTGCAGCCTTTGCAGGCCAGCACCACCTACTTTCTCCTCATCCTTCCACTCCCCTTCCTTTCCCTCCGTCCATCCCAGCATCATCTTTTATCCCTTCTGTTCTCCCCTCCCCACTATCCCTCTTCCTGTCAACTAAACGGCTTGTACCAACAATTTTCTCCTTGTAGCTCCTCTTTTCCCCAACCCCATCCTCCTTCTTCCCCTCCTCTCCATCCCTCCACTCCTAAATCCACCCCCTTCCTTCTTCCATCAGAAATCAAACAATTGATCGTCCTGTCCTCCTGCACCTCTCACTGATTTCTAATCGCTCCATCCATCCTCATCCATCCTCATCCATCCTCCTCTCTCCCTCCCAATCCCTCCTCGTCCCTCCTTCCCTCCTCCGTCCTGTCCGCTTCCTTCAATCCATATTTTTTCTCAACCAGAGGACGAGCGGGTGATTGTTCCCTCCGCTGGAGCTGTGCCCCTTCTCGCTCCTACCATGGCGTCCGGGTTAATGCTGCGGCTTGATGCGGAGGGGCGGGCGATCGACTTTGACGCATGGCTGCTCAACGCCACACTCCACCTGCGGAGCCAGCTCCTGGGTAACGTCACCCTGTACGCACATGCGTCGGGTGAGCTACCTGCCCCCCAGCGTCTTCCTGTTCTTGCGGCTGAGGCCAAGTCGGAGGACCAGGAGGCTCACCGCGTAGGCCAACTTGCATACAGAATTTGGGAGTCACGTGACATAGCTGCGCGCCTTGTTCTTAGTCGCCTCCTCCCGGCGGCCGAGCGGGTGCACTTTCGTCATTTAGTGACGGCGAAGGAGTCTTTTCATGCTATTATTACTCGCTACTCCACCCACTCGTCAGCTACTCTATTGCGCCTCGTCCTAGCGTTGCTGTTCTCTGATCCTCCTGTGTTCTCCACCGTAGCGGACCTCATTACCCACCTACGCTTGCTTGACGCCAGCTACCGCGCAGCTTGCGCTTCTGCCCAGCTTACTAGCCAGGTTCCGTATATGCATCTCACACTGTACCTCATCGCGGCCTGCCTCCCTGAGCGCTTCGCGTCTGTCCGCGACGCTCTCCTCGCCATGCACCCCATGCACCTTACTATCGATATTTTTTATGCTAGCCTCACTAAGATCGAGACTCGCGTTCGCACCATCGCCTCCACCATTGGTGCAGTAGTCTCCCCCATTTTCAAGGGGTGCGTTCCACCTCAGCTCACTATGGCGGAGTTCACAGCCGTCGCTGGTGGGCAGATGCCGGTCGGCACATGTCTGTACATCCCCTCGTTCTCCAAGAACTTGGTGGATGTCGGTTGTCTTCAGGACCTCGAAGTCTCCACCATAATTCCTGGAGGTGAGAAGTTCGCGATCTGCACGGACAGTATTGTCAACAGGACTAGGCAAGAATGGATGAACTAGCAACAGTTGGGATACAAATATGAACCCTAGAATGTGTTGTACCCCATGTAAGCTACCCCACTACAGCCAACAGTGCTACAGCAGGTGTATATAATGTTTGACACACCCCTATAGGCAAAGTGGGGGAGAACAAGGGGTCACAAGACCAGTCAAGCAAAGACAAGCTCAGGGTGGATCACAACGTCACCACACACTCTGAGCACAAACAGTAAAGGCCACAAGGCTAGTTCACATGCAGAGAGATATAAACGACAGCGACAATACAGTGATCCCTACCTAGCAAGAGCAAACAAGCAGGTATATATATAGATCACAGTACAAACAAGGTCAAGCAGTAAGCAAGTGAGAGAACGTAGGTACAAGGCCTAGAGCAGTGCAGTGCCGCTGATGATCACTAGGCGGAAGTGCCTTGGTGAATATGTCAGCGGTGTTGGCCCGTGTGTCGACGTACGCAAGACGAAGCTGGCCACGCTGCTGCAGCTCTCGAGCCAGGAAGTAACGGAGAGCAATGTGCTTCGTTCTGTGCTCCAGTCTGTGCTCCTGACACAAGGCAAGGGCTGCCTTGTTGTCGCCGTACAGAACTGGAGGAGAACTAGGCCGCTCTCCCAGGTCAGTCAGCAGGTAGGTAAGCCAGCGTAACTCCTGTGCAGCCATGGCTGTGGCGTAGATCTCAGCCTCACAACTGGAGCTGAGAACAGAAGACGAGCGAGTAGACCGCCACGAGACAGAGCCAGAACCAAGGCTGAAGGTGTAACCCTGTGACGACCGCTGCGTAGCCAGGTCGTCAACCCAAGAGGCGTCTGAGTGTCCAGTGAGGACAACTCGACCCCGTCCTCCAAGCACCAGCCCCATGCCTGATGTACTGCACAAGTAGCGTAGCACCCTCTTAGCAGCCTCCCAGTGCTCTCGCCTGTGTCTCCCAGGCGCGACGTAGCGAGCTAGGATGCTAAGAGGGTACGCAAGGTCAGGTCGAGTGCAGGTCATCAGGTACATGAGGCAGCCCACAAGCTCTGGGTACGGGCCACTCGGCTCTACGGACTCGTCCGAAGGTGGAGCTGAGAGCGAGTGACGTGTAGACAGAGGAGTGGACTGTGGTGAGGAGTACTGGAAGTCGAAGCGCTGAAGGATCTGCTGCACCATGTGTGACTGAGTCAAGGTGATGGTGCGGCGTGCTTTGTCCCGGGTGATCTGCAAGCCAAGGTAGCTGCGCAGCTCACCCAGATCAGTGCACGTGTGTCTCTTCTGCAGCTCCGACTTCACGTGGGCGAGTGCCTCAGTGTCAGCAGTAGCAAAAACCAAGTCGTCGACGTACACGAGGATGTAGAACGGCGGCAGCGAGGTGTCGGTGCGGAGAAACAGCGACGGGTCTGCAGTGGAGGGAGCAAACCCAAGTGCCGCAAGTGTCGTCCTCAGTGTGTCGTGCCACTCGCGCGGCGCCTGGCGGAGACCGTAGACTGGCCGGCGGAGGCTCCACTGGGTACCAGGAGGGAACGACCCAGTAAAGCCAGGTGGGCGGCGCAGCCAGATCTCCTCGTGCAGGCTGCCCTGCAAGAACGCTGTGCTGAAGTCAAGAGAGTGAAGCTCATAGTCACGCTGAGCGGCAACGTGCAGCAGAACCCGAAGAGTGGTCATCTTCGGGGTGGGGGAGAAGGTCTGGAAGAAGTCAACTCCCTGACGCTGACTGAAGCCTCTAGCAACGTAACGAGCCTTGAAGACAGGTGGAGAACCTGGCGGCCGCTTCACCCTGAAAATCCACATGCCATCGATGATGTTCGCCCCAGGAGGGGGAACCTCGTCGACGTAGGTGCCTGTGGATTTCCAGGATGCCATCTCTGCGTCCATGGCTGTCTGCCACTGAGAGGAGTAGGGACCCGAGATCGCCTCTGCGTAAGAGCGCGGAGTGGGGATGTCTAGTGCATCCGGGTCTCCCTCAGGGGCAAGCAACCAGGCCACGAGATGAGGTACAGCAGCCGCAAGAGAGTCAAAGTCCTCCTGCCTGTCCTCAAGGACGTCCGTGCCAAGAGCACACTCACCCCCGACGGACGGAGGACAGACAGACTCAGACTCAGCAACAAGACTGGCGGTGTAGTCTAGACGACAGGCAGCAGCAAAGTCGACAAGCTCAGCGACCAGGGCAGACGCAGCAGTAGACTCAAACGACGGGTCAGTGACAACAGTGGCGAGAAGACGCGTAACAGTAGGGTGGGCAGCACGAACACTGTCAGACTCAGGGTCGGGAACGTCAGGCATGGAAGACGCAGGAGGAGACGGTAGGGGGACACGCTGTGGACCAGTGGAAGGACGAAGGGCCATAATGTGTGTGTCAGGAACAGGAGGAGGACGCGGACGCGCGACACGACGACCAGTGGGACCAGTGCGCGCAGTGCGAGCAGTGCGAGCAGCGCGAACAGGCGAGGCAGGACGAGACGCAGGCTCACGACGCTCCGTAAGCGAGTCCGGCTGTGCAGTGTAAGGCACAGGAGCAGGGAGGGGGGAGCCAGGCTGGAGGGGAAGGCAAGTGGACGACGGGAGGGAAAGAACCTGGCGAAGCACCGTGTCAGGCGGTGGCAAAGCCGACGGCGACGGTGGAGCGAAGAACAGTCGCGACGGCGGAGCTCCGCCAGTACCTCCAGCACCCGCAGCACCAGAAGCACCAGTACCAGCGCCCCCCGCCTCAGCACCCCCAGAGCCGGCGACACCAGCACCAGAGGCCCCAGCAGCGTCAGACCTCCCCTCGCCAGCACCTCCAGAACCAGCAGGACCAACGCCTCCAGAACCGTCAGCTCCAGTGTCGTCAGCTCCAGCAGCTCCAGTACCTCCAGGAAGAGCACCCCCAGAGCCGGCAGCTCCAACTCCGCTAGTACCGCCAGCTCCAGAGTCCCCAGCTCCAGCAGCTCCAGCCTCAGTGCTCCCAGAACAACCAGCCCCGGCAGCTCCAGTACCTCCAGTACGAGCACCTCCAGGACGAGCAGCTCCAGAACCTCCAACTCCAGCAGGGCCACGAGGACGGCGAAAGCGCCGGACGTACCAGTCACGAAGCTGCTGCTGTGTGAGAGGCTCCCGGAGAGACGGCTCAGCACCCCGAACCGGAGCACCCCCAGACGCAGCAACCCCAGGCTCCGTAGGCTCAGTCGCAGCACCCCCAGGCTCAGTACCCTCAGGCGCAGCACCCCCAGGCTCAGCACCCCCAGACTCGGCACCCCCAGGCTCAGCACCCCCAGGCCCAGCACCCCCAGGCTCAGCACCCCCAAGCTCAGCACCCCCAGGCTCCGTACCCCCAGGCTCAGCACCCCCAGTCGCAGTACCTCCAGGCTCAGCACTCCCAGGCTCCGTACGCTCAGGCACCGTACCCTCAGCTCCAGCACCCTCAGTCCCAGCACCCGCAGCCCCAGCACCCCCAGGCCCAGCATCCCCAGGCTCAGCACCCCCAGGCTCAGCACTCCCAGCAGCACCACCCGCAGCAGCACCTGAGTCACCTGTGACCTCGACAGGCTCAGCGACGGGAGGAGGGTCTACCTGAGAGACACCTGAAGGAGCAGGACCCTGAGGGGGAAGGGGGTCTACCGGAGGGGGACCAGGAGCGAGGAAAAGCGGCGGGGGAGGGAGGGGGGCAGTGCGGTAGGGGAAGAGACGGTAAAAAGGGACCGACTCGTCAAAGGTGACGTCCTGAGAGGCGAAGACCCGGCGCGAGGTGGGGTGGTAAAACTGCCAGCCAAGCGCGTCAGGGACAAAGCCAAGGAAGACACAGGGAAGCGTGCGGGAGGAGAGCTTGTCCGCGGACGTATCGCGGACAAGGGCACGAGCACCCCACACCCGGAAGCGCGACGCATCGCCAACCTCCCCCGTCCAACGCAGTGTGGGCGAGGTTTCCGGCAAGGAGACACGGGGCCAGAGGTTGAGCTGATGCGCGGCGTACCGGACAGCAAACGGCCACAGAAAATGGGGAGCCGCCGCATGGACCAAGGAGGTACGAGCGACCTCCATGACCAGGCCAATGCGGCGCTCAGCAACTCCATTCTGCTGCGGGGAGTCCGGAAGCGTGAAGGTCTGCTCGATGCCCTCCGCCTGACAGAAGGTCCTCAAGAGGTCGGAGGAGAACTCACCACCTCTGTCAGAGTGCAGACGCAGGACAGGAAGATCTGTCCGGAAACGGCGGCGGAGCTGGAGACGAACTGTGCGGATCCAAGGGATCAGAACAGCAGGGACCTCACCCTTGGTGCGCAAGGGGAAGACCGTGGTGTAACGCGAGTAGTCGTCGACAACCAGCAAAAAATACCGCTCACCGCCCTGGCCACGAACGCGGGCTGGGCCCCACACGTCCAGGTGGAGGGTCTGCAGAGGAGCCTCTGTCGGGGGGAACGAGGAGGAGTGAGGAGCGGCGCGCTGCCGCCCCTCGACGCAAGGAAGGCAAGGCGGCGCAGGCAAGGCAGGGAGGGGAGGGAGGGACCTGGGAAGACCAGACACAAGGTGGCGACGGTGCATGCCACGAAGGCGTGGCAAGGAGGGGTGACCCAGGCGGTGGTGCCAGAGAAGAGTCTGGTGCGACAGGGAACGACACTCACAGGCGTGGGCTACCAGACCTGACGCGGACACCTGACCGACAGCAGCGACCTGAGGAGACACAGTGGTCAGTGTGTAGAGACTCGACCCCGGCTGACGGGTAAACGTAGCCAGGTGACGGCCGGTCCTGGAGCACGTGAGGATCGCCACACGCTGTCCTCCAGGGGTAAAGGTGTCAACCCACTGATCCTGGATGACAGCGTTGCTCACCAGGTTCGTCGAGAACGAGGGGAGGTGGAAACCCGACAACGAGCCAGACGGAACCGCCGGACACGGGAGCACAGTGGTGGACCGTGCAAGGACTGGGCCCCCCGAGGGGTCAGCCAGGGAGACTGGGACCGGTGCAGGGAGCGGAGTGAGCTCAGTACTGTCACGAAAGAAACAGCGGGAAGCACCTGAGTCAAGAGTGAAGGTGTGCAAGGCCTCAGCGGGTGCAGTACCTGAGAGAGCAGTCTCTGTGGGTGCTGTACCTGAGAGAGCAGACTCACTAGCAGCAGGGACAGTACCGGAGGGAGCAGCCACAGAGGGCACAGTACCAGAGAGAGCAGACTCACTAGTACCTAGGGCAGTGGGCTCTATACCTGGGTCAGGCGGCACACACAAGTAACAGTCTCCCTCGGCACTAACAGTCAATGCATACATGGCAGCAATAATAGCATCATAGTCAAGAGCAAAGATATCAACACCAGCCCTCATCAGATCAGCCCAGCGGGGGCGCTCAACATCCTCGCCCATCTCCTCACGCCAAGCGTCGTCAAGGCGGGAGAAGCAGCGGTACTGGGTGTGGAACTTCCCACACTTCTGCCCCTTGCGATCACCTGTGCGAATGACATAGGAACAGCGGCCACTGCCCCCCGACGTCCCACGCTGAGCAAGCCACTCACGAAGCTGCTGGGTCGTCTGGGGACGCTGCTGCTGCTGGGAGCTCTGGCCCGAGCCGGTGCCTCCACTCCGACCTCCACCGCCGCCACTACCTCCGCTCCGACCGCCACCGCCGCCACCGCCACCGCCGCTACCGCCACCGCCGCCACTGCCGCCGCTGCCACCACCGCCACTGCTCCCTCCGCCGCCCCCGCCTCCGCTGCCGACCCCACTCCCACCAGCACTCCCGCCACCGCTCCCTCCATTACCGCCTCCCCCCCCACCTCCCCCACCCCCTCCCCCCCCAGCGCCACCCCCGCCACCCTTGCCCCCCTTGCCCTTGCCGGTGCGGCGCCTCCCACCAGGAGCAGAAGCAGCGCCAGCAGACTCAGCACCAAGGAAGTCAACAGCAGCAGCAGTAGCGTAGGAGGGAGCGAGGGGAGAGGGAGAGCACCCCTCAAAGATGGGGGTGCGAGGAGCGCCGCGAGCAGCACCGACAGCTACAATGCTCTTCTCGGCTGCTAGCAGCTTCTCCTCTAGGAGGTCGACAGTGAGCTCAGTGGGACAGCGAGCAAGGAAATAGTCGCGCACTGAGCTGAGGGTGTCGGGTGTCTGCGTACAGGGCCTTAGCGGTTTTGCAGTCGCCAAAATGCTCGAGCTCAGCTAACGGCAGGTGACTGCGAATGGCTAGGCGAGCAGCTGCGTCACGAGTCTGCCAGTGGGAGCGGACACTAAGCTCAGCTGTGGCAGGAGGGGCAGGCGCAGCACCAGACGCGTAGTCATAGAGCGAAACATGCTCTTTGCTATCGCTCAGGAGAAAAAGCTGCAGGTCATCTAGCCAGGTGGTGAACTGCACAGGGCGGCCCTCAGCATCGAACGACAGTACGCGAATGGAGGCCATAGCGGAAGCACGCTAGAGCAAAGCCAGCAGCGGCAGCAGAGGCAGCAGACGAAATGGGCAGTGCGGCGGGCGGGTAGCGCGACGGGCGGGCGGCGGGCTGCGCGACGAGCGGGCGGCGCAGCGGGCGGACGGCACTGCAAGTGGGCAGCGCGGCGGGTAGCGCGGCAGGTGGGCAGCGCGGCGGGTAGCGCGGCGGGCAGGCGGCGCTGCAAGTGGGCAGCGCGGCAGGTGGGCGGCGCTACTAGCGGGTAGCGCGGCGGGTACCGCGGCGGGCGGGCGGCGCTACTAGCGGGTAGCGCAGCGGGCAGCGCGACGGGCGGGCGCGCGACGGGCAGCGCGGGCGGGTACAGCGCAGCGAGCGGGCAGCGCGACGGGCAGCGCGACGGGCAGCGCGGCGGGCGACGCGACGGGGAGCGGGACGGGCAGCGCGACGGGCGACGCGCGGCGCGACGGGCAGCGCTACGGGCGGCGCGACGAGCAGCGCGGCGGGCGAGGGCGCTAACGAGGGGCGCACGAGGGCGCTAACGAGGGGCGCGCGAGGGCGCTAACGAGGGCGCGCGAGGGCGCTAACGAGGGCGCGCGAGGGCGCTAACGAGGGCGCGCGAGGGCGCTAACGAGGGCGCACGAGGGCGCTACGAGGCTAGGGCACGGGGTAGCGTGGTAACCGCATGCGAGCGGTGGTGGGCCCTAAAAAAAACGGTCGGTAGGTCCTAGGGACCTCCTGCTCTGATACCATGTTAAGAGAACTAGGCAAGAATGGATGAACTAGCAACAGTTGGGATACAAATATGAACCCTAGAATGTGTTGTACCCCATGTAAGCTACCCCACTACAGCCTACAGTACTACAGCAGGTATATATAATTTGACAAGTATTACTGGGGCACATATAGCCACGTTTTTCCGTGACCCTGGTTCAGATGTTTACACCCTGCACACTGCTTCGTAACGTTTGTAGTGTTACATTTTTCAGCCTAAGTTAGCTACAGTTATTTGTACCAACATTATGTTGATATCATTCATTCTGGTTTGAAATTTGACAGTGTATCAGTTAGGTTGCATCATAGCTTTGCCCGCTGCCTTACCTAGCTGCTAGATAGACCGTTGGCCAGCCAACCTTTGCCCGCCAACTCAAACCAATCAGATGGCGTTCACAGCAAGTTAGCTCAAAGCGAACCGCGCTCAACAACAGTGCACAGATATTTGTGAAGCACGTGTTTGGGGTTCCTACACGAAAATTTGTTCCGAACGATCTTGAAGTTTCTGGGGTTACATGCACGTGATTGGGTCTGTTATTTCGCTCAAACTCGTCTATCAATGTATCCACATTCGTATGGCACGTGGAGTGGGTGTGGTCGGTTGCAAAACTGCCACGCTGGACAGAATATTCCTCTTTTTGGGACTCTTGAGCGCGGTTCGCTTTGAGCGAACTTGCTGTGAACGCCATCTCAGCCAGAGCCAGCCAGCCCGCCAGCCGCCAACGCGCTGCCCGCTAGCGTGCGTCTACCCGCACAGCATACCCACCACCAGCGCGCCAGCAGCGCGCAGGATGCTCCACAGCGCGCCAGCAGTGCTCATTCACAACGTGCCACAGAGCGCGCAAGCATGTACAGCGTGCACAGCACGTACTGCGTGGACAGCGCGTACTGCGTGGACAGCGCGTACTGCGTGGACAGCGCGTACTGCGTGGACAGCGCGTACTGCGTGGACAGCGCGTACTGCGTGGACAGCGCGTACTGCGTGGACAGCGCGTACTGCGTGGACAGCGCGTACTGCGTGGACAGCGCGTACTGCGTGGACAGCGCGTACTGCGTGGACAGCGCGTACTGCGTGGACAGAGTGTACAGCGCGGACAGCGTGCACAGCGTGTACTGCGTGCACAGCGTGTACAGCGTGTACAGCGTCGCCCGCACAACGCGCCAGCAGCGGGCCCCGCCACCCTGCCCATAATCTTTGTTCACAAGTGGAGCTAAATGATTACTTGAATCTACGGTTCCTGGCATTCCTGCATGCTGCCCTACAGAAATAGAATGTTCAACGTCATACATCGTATTTTATTACTACCATATAACTGGTTTAACCCTGGTAATATCTGGTGATTCTTTCCTATCTCATATTCACAAACCTTTCATGCACATATACTAAAAGCTACTCACAAGCTGCACATATACCGTACTAGGCACGAGCAGAGTCACCATGCTCAACCTGCTGTGCTGGTCTGAGCTGCATGCTTGCTTAGAGTTGCGAAGGTGCCGGTCTGTGCTGCTGTTGCACAGCATAAGCAGTGGATGGCATCGATGGGGATGAAAGAGCATGGAATGGAAGGCGTGTGCTTTGAGACGTCTCAAAAACACCCTCATTTCACGTGCTGCTGTTGCACAGTATAAGCAGTAGATGGCATTGATGGGGAAGAAGAAAGAGCATAGAAGTCACGAACGACTAGTGCTTCGATGCCTGATGGCCCGCTACCCTGTTGCCCCGCTGCCCTGCTTCCCCGCTGCCCACTGCCCCACTCCCCCACTGTCCAGCTGCCTCACTGCCTTCCCGCTATGAGGGGTTGATACATAGCGGTTGAGTAGCTGGCAGCGATAGGGCGTCCACGACTTGTGGTGGAGAGGGAGAGACCAACAGATGTGGCGAGGAGGGCAATGGAGGGAGAGGGCATGGTCATTGCCTCACTCATCACTGTATCACTGTATCACTTCCTTACTGTCTCCCCCCGATGAGTGGGTGGTGCAATGCGGGTGGGTAGCTGGTGCTGATGAGGCAAGCCCGGCGCTTCAGCCATTAGACTAGGCGAGCTGCAGCTTAGATAAATTCTTTTAGCAGAAGAAAAACAGTAGAGTTGAACTCTTTGTTGCCAGTTGAAAAAACAAGATCGAAACTGAGCTCTACGTCCACTACAAGATTAAAACAGCAAACATGTTTCGGACGACTGGGACAGACCCCCGTCAATCCTTCATCACTGTATCACTGTATCACTTCCTTACTGTCTCCCCCCGATGAGTGGGTGGTGCAATGCGGGTGGGTAGCTGGTGCTGATGAGGCAAGCCCGGCGCTTGGCAGAGAGGGAGAGACCAACAGATGTGGCGAGGAGGGCGAGAGAGAGGATGAAGAGAGCGAGGGAGGTCGAGGAGACGTCTTCGAAGGAAGACAGCGAGCTGCAAGGGGGAAGGGAAAGGGGGATGGGAGAGAGTAAGAGAAGTCATTAGATGAAGGAAAGAAGGATGTGGTGGGACGAGAGGAAAAAGAGGGCGAGGGAGGTCGAGGAGATGTCTTCAAAGGAAGAGAGCGGGCTGAACAGGGGGAAGGGAGAGGGGGATGGGAGACATGAGGAGATGAGAAGAGAGAGAAGATGAGTGAAGATGAGAAGGTGCAAGAAGAAGGAAAAGGGGGATGAGAGAGAGAGAAGGAAAAGGAGAATGACAGAGAGAAGGAAAAGGAGGATGAGTGAGAGACAGAAAAGGAGGGTGAGAGACTGCTAGATGGAAGGAAAACTTTACCCAAAACGAAGGTCATTCCTCCCTTGCTTCTTCTCCTCCTCCCTGTCCTTGTGCCACTGCTTGATCCACTTCTTGATGTGCTTCTCCTCCTCCTTTCGCTGCTTCCGCACCGAAGGGGGATCTTCCGGGGTTGACGCACGCAGGTCCAGGTGGTGGGCGCCTGGGAAGGGGAGGAGGTGTGAGGAAGAGTAGGGACGAGTGGGAAGGAGTGGGGAGGGGAAAAGCAAGAAGGCAGATTATGATATATCCACTTCTTGCTGCTTCTTTTTCTCCTTCACCAGCTGGGGTGGACGCACGCAGGTCCAGGTGGTGGGGGCCTGGAGGGAGGGGAGGGAGGAAAAGAAGGGCGGCGGAGTGGGGAGGAGGGAGGTGCCCGCATTGCTTGCACCACTTGGAAGGGGGTGGACGCACGCAGGTCCAGGTGGTGGGGGCCTGGAGGGAGGGGAGAGAAGGGAGGAGGTGTGGGAGGAGGGAGGGAAGGAGGCACGTACAGATTACACCACTTAAGATGTGCTTCTGCTCTTCCTTCTCTTGCTTCCAAACAGCAAGGGGGCCGTCTGGAGTGGACGCACGCAGGTCCAGGTGGTGGGCACCTACCTGGAGGGAGGGAGAGAGGTAGGGGAAGAGTGAAGGATTCCAACCGTTGGGGGGAAGAGAAAGAGGGGCAGGAGAATGGGGAGGAGGGCAGGGTTATTAAAACACATGCACTCTTGCATCTACACTCTTCTTGCTTTCCAACAATGAACTACAGATCAAGCTTAAAGGTCGAACCAGAGTAACAAAAGACTTGGAGTGTCATCGAGTCTTTAGGCCAACAGACTTGGAAAAAAAAAACAGAAGGGTTACAACACACTCACCGTCAGGAATGGTGAGGCTGACTAGGGTGCCTGAAATGTCTTCGAGCACTCTGATTGGTGGAGACGGACGAGGTGGAATGGAAAAAGAGGGCACAGAACAGAGGGGGTAATGGGGGAGGTGAGATGGAGGGGGACAAGAGAGTAGGGGGACAAGAGAGTAGGGGGACAAGAGAGTAGGGGGACAAGAGAGTAGGGGGACAAGAGAGTAGGGGGACAAGAGAGTAGGGGGACAAGAGAGGGGAGTAGCAGGAGAAAGATGGAAAAGGATTCAGGGGACTTTTGAGCATAAAGAACCAAAAGAAAGTAAAGTTCAACGAAAACATAAGGTCACTGGAACGATAATCAATTGATATTTCGATGCACCATTAATAGATGTCGAGAGGAAAGGAAAACGGGTGATGTCAATGACATCTCACCCGCCTCCACTCCAGGGGTCAAGAGCCCCCTGGGAGAACACAATGTTGCTGGCGAAGTGACGCAGGGCTGAACGGATGGACTGTGAATGGGGGAGATGGGGGGAGGGGTGGGGCAGGGGGGGTTGAAGAGGGGACTTTCAGATTGCGGGTTCAGGGGATTAAAACACTGTGTCACTCCAGGGTTCAACTGACCCCTGCAAAAAAAAAAAGAAAATTGCTGATGAAAGGACGAACAGGAGGGGATGGAGAAGGGGGGAAGAGGGGAGGGTGTGGACAGGAAGGAGGTAGGAGGGGAGGAGCGGGGATTTAAGCTGCCATGATGTTGTGCTGCTTGGTGAGGTGTCGTGCTGTTTGGTGCGATGTGGAGTGGCCACTCACTCGGCCGCCAGATTGAGTCATGGCCCAGGTGGGTCTGGCTGGAGGCCACGCCATACTGCTGAGAGCAGTGCTGCTCAAAGACTGTCTGGCTCCCCTCAAAGGGCTCAAAGAGACTATTGTGGTGATGCGGTGCTGAGCGGTGCAACATGGTGCCATGTGGTGCGGTGCTGTGTGGTGCAGCCACTCACCCGTCCACCGAACTGGGTCATGGCCCAGGTGGGTCTGGAGGCCACGCCATACTGCTGCAAGCAGTGCTCCTCAAAGGCCGTCTGGTTCCACTCGAAGGGTTCGAAGATGCTGTTGCTGGCGTTGCTGCTCATGGGCATGACATGCTCCGTGCACGCCTGGTGGGATGTCGGGGGGAGGGGGAGAGGACGGGGGAAGAAGCGAGAGAGACGACAGGGAGAAGGGGGCTCAAAGGGGGCAAGTGGGGGGAGAAGGGAGAGGTAGGGCATGGAAAGGGGGCTCAAACAGGCTGTTGCTGGCGTTGCTGCTCATGGGCATGACATGCCCATGCACGCCTGGTGGGATCAATGGATAGGGGGGGTGTGGAGGTGGGGAAGAGGCGGTGAGTGCTCCTCAAAGGCTTTCTGGTTCCACCCAAACGGCTCAAAAAGGCTGTTGCTGGCATTGCTGCTCATGGGCATGACGTGCTCCGTGCATGCCTGGTGGGATGATGACGGCGGAAGTGGGGGGAGCAGGGAGAGGTAGGGCATGTAAAGGGGGGTCAAACAGGCTGTTGCTGGCGTTGCTGCTCATGGCCATGACATGCTCTTTGCAAGCCTGGCGGGATGACAAAGCAAGGGGGGAGGGGGGAGGAAGAGGCGGAGAGTTCTGCTCAAAGGCCATCTGGTTCCCCTCGAATGGCTCGAAGGGGCTGTTGCCGGCGTTGCTGCTCATGGGCATCACATGCTCCGTGCACGCCTGGTGGGATGTTGGGGAAGGAGGGGGAAATTGAGTGGGAGGAAGTGGGGGAAGAGGCGGGGAGAGCTGCTCAAAGGCCGTTTGGTTTCACTCAAACGGCTCAAACAGGCTGCTGTTGTCAGTGTCGCGCGCTTTAAAGCACGCCTCAGAGCCCGAGCAGTTGTAATACACGCCCGCCCGTCCCAGCACACACATGGTGCAGAGGGCTCGCACTAGGCAGGCTGCCATACCTCTAGTCCCACCCATTGGACATGTCATGAGGATCGGTATCTCGCACACTGAAGCATGAATCCAAGCCCGAGTAGCTGTAATACACGCCCACCCACCCCAGCACACACATGGTGCAGAGGGCTCGCACTAGGCAGGCTGCCATACCTGCAAGTGTCAACCAGTCGCCTCACCTGGAACTCCCACCCGTTGCTCATGTCATGCGAGTCGGTATCGCGCACACTGAAGCACGTCTCTGCGCCCGTGTAGTTGTAATAGCACACGTCCACTCCGCATTCACATGCTCCAGGAGGCTGGCACTAGGCAAACAGCACCCAGGCTGACATACCTGGAAGTCCCACCCGTTGCTCATGTCATGCGGGTCGGTATCGCGCACACTGAAGCACGTCTCTGCGCCCGTGTAGTTGTAATAGCACACGTCCACTCCGCATTCACATGCTCCAGGAGGCTGGCACTAGGCAAACAGCACCCAGGCTGACATACCTGGAAGTCCCACCCGTTGCTCATGTCATGCGAGTCGGTATCGCGCACACTGAAGCAGGTCTCCGCGCCCGTGTAGTTGTAATAGCACACGTCCACTCCGCATTCACATGCTCCAGGAGGCTGGCACTAGGCAAACAGCACCCAGGCTGACATACCTGGAAGTCCCACCCGTTGCTCATGTCATGCGAGTCGGTATCGCGCACACTGAAGCAGGTCTCCGCGCCCGTGTAGTTGTAATAGCACACGTCCACTCCGCATTCACATGCTCCAGGAGGCTGGCACTAGGCAAACAGCACCCAGGCTGACATACCTGGAAGTCCCACCCGTTGCTCATGTCATGCGAGTCGGTATCGCGCACACTGAAGCAGGTCTCCGCGCCCGTGTAGTTGTAATAGCACACGTCCACTCCGCATTCACATGCTCCAGGAGGCTGGCACTAGGCAAACAGCACCCAGGCTGACATACCTGGAAGTCCCACCCGTTGCTCATGTCATGTGAGTCGGTATCGCGCACACTGAAGCACGTCTCTGCGCCCGTGTAGTTGTAATAGCACACGTCCACTCCGCATTCACATGCTCCAGGAGGCTGGCACTAGGCAAACAGCACCCAGGCTGACATACCTGGAAGTCCCACCCGTTGCTCATGTCATGCGGGTCGGTATCGCGCACACTGAAGCACGTCTCTGCGCCCGTGTAGTTGTAATAGCACACGTCCACTCCGCATTCACATGCTCCAGGAGGCTGGCACTAGGCAAACAGCACCCAGGCTGACATACCTGCAAGTCCCACCCGTTGCTCATGTCATGCGGGTCGGTATCGCGCACACTGAAGCACGTCTCTGCGCCCGTGTAGTTGTAATAGCACACGTCCACTCCGCATACACACGCTGCAGGAGGCTGGCACTAGGCAGGCGGCACCCATGCGGTCATACCTGGAAGTCCCACCCGTTGCTCATGTCATGCGGGTCGGTATCGCGCACACTGAAGCACGTCTCCGCGCCCGAGTAGTTGTAATACACTCCAACTCCAGTATAAATGCAATCAAGAAGGCCGGCGCTTGCAGGCAGGCTGTCAACTCGCCGACAGAGCTGCGCACAGGGGAGGGATGGTGTGCAAGGTGGGGTGGGGGAGAGGAGGGCGTGTTAGAGCAGGCCTCCGAACCCGAGTAGTTGTAATACACTCCAACTCCAGCATAGATGCGATCCAGCAGGTCGGTGCCTGCAGGCAGGCTGTCGATTTGCCAACAGAGCTGAGTGCATTGGGCATCGGGGTAGGGAGAGGAGCGGGAAGAGGGGACACGTTAAAGAAGGTCTCCGAGCCCGAGTAGTTGTAATACACACCCACCCCGGCATAGATGGGATGACGAAGGTGTGCACCTGGGGGAAGACTGTCGACTCGCCGACAGAGCTGAGGCATTAAGTGCCAGAAGGGGAAAGGAGGGGAAGGAGGGGAAGGAGGGGAAGGAGGGGAAGGAGGGGAAGGAGGGGAAGGAGGGGAAGGAGGGGAAGGAGGGGGAGGAGGGGAAGGAGGGGGAGGAGGGGAAGGAGGGGGAGGAGGGGAAGGAGGGGGAGGGGGGAGGAGGGGGAGGAGGGGAAGGAGGGGAAGGAGGGGAAGGAGGGGAAGGAGGGGAAGGAGGGGAAGGAGGGGAAGGAGGGGAAGGAGGAGGGGGAAGGAGGGGAAGGAGGGGAAGGAGGGGAAGGAGGGGAAGGAGGGGAAGGAGGGGAAGGAGGGGAAGGAGGGGAAGGAAGGAGGGGAAGGAGGGGAAGGAGGGGAGGAGGGGGAGGAGGGGAAGGAGGGGAAGGAGGGGAAGGAGGGGAAGGAGGGGAAGGAGGGGAAGGAGGGGAAGGAGGGGAAGGAGGGGAAGGAGGGGAAGGAGGGGAAGGAGGGGGAGGAGGGGGAGGAGGAGAAGGAGGGGAAGGAGGGGAAGGAGGGGAAGGAGGGGAAGGAGGGGAAGGAGGGGGAGGAGGGGAAGGAGGGGAAGGAGGGGAAGGAGGGGAAGGAGGGGGAGGAGGGGGAGGAGGGGAAGGAGGGGAAGGAGGGAAGGAGGGGAAGGAGGGGAAGGAGGGGAAGGAGGGGAAGGAGGGGAAGGAGGGGAAGGAGGGGAAGGAGGGGAAGGAGGGGAAGGAGGGGGGAGGGGAAGGAGGGGAAGGAGGAGAAGGAGGGGAAGGAGGGGAAGGAGGGGAAGGAGGGGAAGGAGGGGAAGGAGGGGGAGGAGGGGAAGGAGGGGGAGGAGGGGAAGGAGGGGGGAGGAGGGGAAGGAGGGGAAGGAGGGGAAGGAGGGGAAGGAGGGGAAGGAGGGGGAGGAGGGGGAGGAGGGGGAGGAGGGGGAGGAGGGGGGAGGAGGGGAAGGAGGGGGAGGAGGGGAAGGAGGGGAAGGAGGGGGAGGGGGGGGGGAAGGAGGGGGAGGGGGGGAGGAGGGGGAGGAGGGGGGGGGGGAGGAGGGGGAAGGAGGGGAAGGAGGGGAAGGAGGGGAAGGAGGGGAAGGAGGGGAAGGAGGGGAAGGAGGGGAAGGAGGGGAAGGAGGGGAAGGAGGGGAAGGAGGGGAAGGAGGGGAAGGAGGGGAAGGAGGGGAAGGAGGGGAAGGAGGGGAAGGAGAGGGAAGGAGGGGAAGGAGGGGAAGGAGGGGAAGGAGGGGAAGGAGGGGAAGGAGGGGAAGGAGGGGAAGGAGGGGAAGGAGGGGAAGGAGGGGAAGGAGGGGAAGGAGGGGAGGGGGAGGAGGGGAAGGAGGGGAAGGAGGGGAAGGAGGGGGAGGAGGGGGAGGAGGGGGAGGAGGGGGAGGAGGGGGAGGAGGGGGAGGAGGGGGAGGAGGGGAAGGAGGGGAAGGAGGGGGAGGAGGGGGAGGAGGGGAAGGAGGGGAAGGAGGGGAAGGAGGGGAAGGAGGGGAAGGAGGGGAAGGAGGGGAAGGAGGGGAAGGAGGGAAGGAGGGGAAGGAGGGGAAGGAGGGGAAGGAGGGGAAGGAGGGGAAGGAGGGGAAGGAGGGGAAGGAGGGGAAGGAGGGGAAGGAGGGGAAGGAGGGGAAGGAGGGGAAGGAGGGGAAGGAGGGGAAGGAGGGGAAGGAGGGGGAGGAGGGGGAGGAGGGGGAGGAGGGGGAGGAGGGGGAGGGGGGAAGGAGGGGAAGGAGGGGAAGGAGGGGAAGGAGGGGTAGGAGGGGGAGGAGGGGAAGGAGGGGAAGGAGGGGAAGGAGGGGAAGGAGGGGGAGGAGGGGGAGGAGGGGAAGGAGGGGAAGGAGGGGAAGGGGGGGAGGAGGGGAGGAGGGGAAGGAGGGGAAGGAGGGGGAGGAGGGGGAGGAGGGGGAGGAGGGGAAGGAGGGGAAGGAGGGGAAGGAGGGGAAGGAGGGGAAGGAGGGGAAGGAGGGGAAGGAGGGGAAGGAGGGGAAGGAGGGGAAGGAGGGGAAGGAGGGGAAGGAGGGGGAGGAGGGGGAGGAGGGGAGGAGGGGGAGGAGGGGAAGGAGGGGAAGGAGGGGAAGGGGGGGGAGGGGAAGGAGGGGAAGGAGGGGAAGGAGGGGAAGGAGGGGAAGGAGGGGAAGGAGGGGAAGGAGGGGAAGGAGGGGAAGGAGGGGGAGGAGGGGAAGGAGGGGAAGGAGGGAAGGAGGGGGAGGAGGGGGAGGAGGGGAAGGAGGGGAAGGAGGGGAAGGAGGGGAAGGAGGGGAAGGAGGGGAAGGAGGGGAAGGAGGGGAAGGAGGGGAAGGAGGGGAAGGAGGGGAAGGAGGGGAAGGAGGGGAAGGAGGGGAAGGAGGGGAAGGAGGGGAAGGGGAAGGAGGGGAAGGAGGGGAAGGAGGGGAAGGAGGGGAAGGAGGGGGAGGAGGAGAAGGAGGGGAAGGAGGGGAAGGAGGGGAAGGAGGGGAAGGAGGGGGAGGAGGGGGAGGAGGGGAAGGAGGGGAGGAGGGGAAGGAGGGGAAGGAGGGGGAGGAGGGGGAGGAGGGGGAGGAGGGGAGGGGAAGGAGGGGAAGGAGGGGAAGGAGGGGAAGGAGGGGAAGGAGGGGAAGGAGGGGAAGGAGGGGGAGGAGGGGGAGGAGGGGGAGGAGGGGAGGGGGGGAGGAGGGGGAAGGTGGGGAAGGAGGGGAAGGAGGGGAAGGAGGGGAAGGAGGGGAAGGAGGGGAAGGAGGGGGAAGGAGGGGAAGGAGGGGAAGGAGGGGGAGGAGGGGGAGGAGGGGGAGGAGGGGGAGGAGGGGAAGGAGGGGAAGGAGGGGAAGGAGGGGAAGGAGGGGAAGGAGGGGGAGGAGGGGGAGGAGGGGAAGGAGGGGGAGGAGGGGAAGGAGGGGAAGGAGGGGAAGGAGGGGAAGGAGGGGAAGGAGGGGGAGGAGGGGGAGGAGGGGAAGGGGGGAAGGAGGGGAAGGAGGGGAAGGAGGGGAAGGAGGGGAAGGAGGGGAAGGAGGGGGAGGAGGGGGAGGAGGGGGAGGAGGGGGAGGAGGGGGAGGAGGGGAAGGAGGGGAAGGAGGGGAAGGAGGGGAAGGAGGGGAAGGAGGGGAAGGAGGGGAAGGAGGGGAGGAGGGGAAGGAGGGGAAGGAGGGGGAAGGAGGGGAGGGGGGAGGAGGGGGAGGAGGGGGAGGAGGGGGAGGAGGGGGACAAAGTGCACATGGGAAGTGTGAGCAGGGAGCCTGTGGCACACGCCCACCCACGCATAGATGCGATTAAGAAGGTGAGCGCCTGGGGGGAGGGAGTCAACGCACTGGCACAGCTGAGCGCATGGGGTGATGCAAGGGGAGGGAGAAGAAGGGGCGTTAACGCAAGCCTCAGAGCCTGAGGGCTGTAGCACACGCCCACCCGCACATAGATGCGATCAAGGAGGTGACCACCTCGGGGGGGGGGGGGGGGGGGGGGGGGGGGCTGTCGCCTCGCTGAATGAGCTGACCAAATGGGGCGCGAATGGGAGGAGGGATAACTGTAGACACGAGAGAGGTGTGGTGAACTGAGAGCCTGATAAGAGCCTGCTAAGAGCCTGGTAAGAGCCTGATAAGAGCCTGGTAAGAGCCTGGTAAGAGCCTGATAAGAGCCTGGTAAGAGCCTGGTAAGAGCCTGATAAGAGCCTGGTAAGAGCCTGATAAGAGCCTGGTAAGAGCCTGATAAGAGCCTGGTAAGAGCCTGGTAAGAGCCTGATAAGAGCCTGGTAAGTTGCAGCAAGCGTCTACCCAGAAACATAATGGGGGGCCCACAGGCAGGCTAACACAGGCCCAATCACGGAGTCATGCTTTGCGTTGATTCATGTGCATGTGTAAGTGCATGGGCATGGGCATGGAGGCATTTGCATGGGCATGGGCATGGAGGCATTTGCATGGGCATGGGCATGGGCATGGGCATGGGCATGGGCATGGGCATGGGCATGGGCATGGGCATGGGCATGGGCATGGAGGCATTTGCATGTGCATGGGCATGGGCACAGGCATGGGCATGGGCATGTGCATCGACATATGGGTACCTCCCAAATCAGTACCTCCCAAATCACTACCTCACGAATGCGTTCATCTTGAATGCGTTCATCTTGAATGCGTTCATCTTGAATGCGTTCATCTTGAATGCGTTCATCTTGAATGCGTTCATCTTGAATGCGTTCATCTTGAATGCGTTCATCTTGAATGCGTTCATCTTGAATGCGTTCATCTTGAATGCGCAACACCCGAATGGAAGAAGGCCGCACAACGCACCTCTCGAATGGGGTGAGAGGGCAGCAGCATAAGTCAGTCAGAAGGCACGGGGTAATCCACCATGGCCATGTAAATATAGGTCATGGCATGGCATGATGGGAGCGTGATGCACAACGCACCTCTCGAATGGGGTGCGCGGGGAGAGGCATGAGGAAATCGGATGGAACGGGGTAGTCCACCATTGCCATGTAGATGTATGCCGTTTCCAACCACTCGATCAAATCATCTGCGTCAGTCAGGGGGCTGGGGAAACGAGCGAGAAGAGAGAAGAGGATTCAGAGGGCTCGCACAGGGTAGTCTGTTGAGGTGGTTTGCGGCTGCCACGCGAGCGCCTAATAGCGGCTGCCACGCGGAGCGCCGAACGGTGCCGTCGCTAAGACCTACCGGAGCTAATCTACAAGATATGAACGGTGCGGAACGGAGAAATCTATGGCAGCAAGGATTTCGAGAAGAATCGGGGAAGAAATGGCAAGGAAGCAAGGGAAAACGTGTGGAAGACCTAATCGCAATATGCAGGAAATGTCGAGAATGTTCGTGGCTGGATTTGGGCCAACCACAGCGCACCGTAATCGGTGTTGTAACTTCGGTTCGCTGGTTTCGGTGTCAGTTTCGGTTACCACGCGGTTTCGCGTGCGACGCGATATGAAACGCGGCGGACGCGTTACACGAGTCGCACAGTGCTAAACTTGGTTGGATATATATTACTTGTTCTGTTTTGCAATGTCATTACCATTTTCAGTGAATATCCAACTGAAAATCCAGAGACTAAGTGCTAAAACCTGTCAACCTACATAGTGATCAGAGACTATCGCCAAGTAACATAGTCCAGCATGGGCAAGTAGATGTATGCAGTCTCCAACCACTCAATGAGCCCGTCTGCGTCAGTCAAGAGACTGGGAGGCAGGAGGGAGCGAGAGGAGGCGATGAGGATCGGAACGGGGAAGAGGTGAGGGGGATGGGAGCGGGGAAGAGGAGGAATCTGATTAAAGGCGCTGGGGAGCCCACCATGGCCATGTAGATGCATGCTTCTCCGACCACTCAATCACATGCCTCACCTGCACAGGCGGAACTGCTCTGAGAGGCGGGTGAGCCCTCCCTCAGCCGCTGCCTGCTCCCTGATCGCCGCCCAGCTGTTCTTGATGGCCTCGAAACAGCTCTCGCTCTCTATCTGCATGACACGTGGAATGACACAGGATGGCATGGCATAGCATGGGGTGGGATGGCACAGCATGGCATGGCATGGCATGGCATGGCGTGGCATGGCATGGCATGGCGTGGCATGGCATGGCATGGCGTGGCATGGCATGGCATGGCATGGCATGGCATGGCATGGCATGGCATGGCATGGCATGGCGTGGCATGGCGTGGCATGGCGTGGCATGGCGTGGCGTGGCATGGCATGGCATGGCATGGCGTGGCATGGCGTGGCATGGCGTGGCGTGGCGTGGCATGGCGTGGGCGTGGCATGGAATGGCACATGATGGCAAGTGATTGCATCAGATTCACAGAGATCAGGGACGAAAATCTGCCGCTGGATGGACTTGAAGCGGCTCTTGAGTCGACTCAGAAGTCACCTTGATGGCAAGAGATTGCATCAGGTTCACTTTTCGCTGTGACTTCAAGGTGAATTCTGAGTCGACTCAGAAGCCACCTTGATTGCATCAGGTTCACAGAGAAAAGGGACGAAAAGCTGCCATTGATGGCCACGTGTATAAAGAAGAGTTTTGAGACGTTTCAAAACACTTCTTTATACATCAGGCTCACAGAGAAAAGGGACGAAAAGCTGCCCTTGATGGACTCGAGGCAGCTCTCGCTCTTTGTCTGCATGGCATGACATGCGATGAAATAGAACATGAGAGCATTTCTTGGCATGAACAGAGCTACTCGCAACACCCACCCACCCCAAAGTAATGCAGCGCTGCCCTGCCCCTGGTTCGCTGCAACGCTGCCCTGCCCCTGGTTCGCTGCAACGCTGCCCTGCCCCTGGTTCGCTGCAGCGCTGCCCTGCCCTCTATGCGACACACTCCCTGTAGAAACACTCCCTCCCTCTTACTACCCACCTTGAAGTCGTGTGCCACTATGCGGTAGAAGGTATCGCTGGGCACGATGCCCTCGCACTGCAATATGGGCGCTGATGCAGCGATGGCACCTGCTGCTATGCCAGCAGCAAGCCTCATGCCCCCCCTATAGTCACACCCCCTCCCTCCCACTGCCACCCACCTTGAAATCGCGTGACACTATGCGGTAGAAGGTGTCACTGGGCACGATGTCCTCGTATTGAAGGATGGGCGCTGATGCTGCGATGGCGCCTGCTGCAATGTGCGGGTACTTGAGGCGAAACCACGCTGCCAGCACTGGGCAGAGCAAAGGAGCAAACAAACGGGAAGAACAAAAAGGGAATAACAGAAGGTGTCACTAGGCAGGCACGATGTTCTCCTATTGAGTTGACTTTTGAGTCGACTCAAAAGTCAATAACAGAAGGTGTCAGTAGGCAGAATGTCCTCGCACTGCAGGATGGGAGTAGATGCTGCCATGGCGCCCCCTGCTAAGTGCGGGTACTTGAGACGTTTCTTTTAAAAGAAAAGAAAAAGAAAGAAAGAAAGAAAATGAAAAAGAAAAAGAAAAAAAAAAAAAAAAAAAACGTCAACCAGCATGGCCTGCTCTGTTGTGAGGGAAAGGTGGCCAATTCTGAAAAATGCCGACTGAGAAAGAGAGAGCAGCCCGCACTCTTGAATCGGCTCAGAACACAACAGCTACTTATTGAACGAGAACAAGTATCCACTTACTTCTGCCGTAGGAACTCCTTGAGCGCTGTGAGCGGCACTGCCATGCCTGCCATGGGCTGCTCTGATGTGATGATGACACGGAGGAACCGAAGAAAAGAAGCCACCTACTGCCACCATACCAACCTCCAAAGAGGATGATGGGCGAGTCATGCGCGGACAGATTCGCCTTGAGAGCCGTGAGGAACAACGCCATGTCCGCCATGGCGTGCTCTGTGGTGAGGAGTCCAGGCCCAGCCCAGGAGGGAGTTACCAAGGGAAAGTGAAGCTACAACCGAGAAAGGACAGCAGCACTTACTGCCGCCGTAGGAACCACCGAAGAGGATGATGGGCGAGTCGTGTGCGGATAAATTCTTCTTGAGCGCCGTGAGGAACACTGCCATGTCCGCCATGGCCTGCTCTGTGGTGAGGAAGGCGCGAGTTGACGCGTTGCTGAAGGACTCTTTTTCCGTGCCGAATGGCATCGACTCGCCGTAGTACCGGTGCTGGATGTGATTGTAACAGGGGGTGGAAAAAGGGGTTCAGGGCAACGTGGTCAGATCCGAACGCTGGTGGAACAAGATCCAGTAGTGGCGGACCTGAAATAGCAGACTAACATTTCCTTTAACGTCATTAATAGAAATGAAAACGTGTCGTGTAGCACTGAGTGTCTGTACTGTAGACTAGTGTGACTTTCACAGCGCAGCGTCCTGGCGGCTTTTGGTTCGATAAAAGAATCATGGCGTGTCGCGCAGCGCGTGAACACGCACGGTTTACCTCGGGTCCCACGACAAGCGCGCCGAACTCGGAAGCAATCTCGCGGATCCACCCTGCGTTATCCATGAACCATCGGATCGGCCCCTCATTGCTGGTGTATTTAGATTAGATGTCGACTGCTACCGCACTGCACGGACTGCTAGCGCACCACACGGACTGCTGCCGCACTGCACGGACTGCTAGCGCACTGCACGGCTCACCTCGGGTCCCACGACAAGCGCGCCGAATTCGACGGCAATTTCGCGGATCCACCCCGCGTTGTCCATGAACCATTGGATCGGCCCCTCGTTGCCGCAGTAAACGAAGATCGGCGCGCCGCTCTCCGCGCCGCCCCACGCGCCGTCCCACCAGATGTACTTCTGCTGCCACGTGGCGTAGCTTGACTGGGTGAACGAGAAATGGTCGAGAATCTGGGTGAAATAAGAGGCGTTCCAGGTGTAACCTCCGCGAGCAGAACCTCCTGATGTGGCATATTTGTTATAGAAATCATCTTTATTATCTATGCGTGCGTTCGCCCGGCTTTTCTGCTGCCGGTGGAACGAAGCCGGGAATCGCGGGATGCGAATGCGCTCATTGGCGCAGGCAGAAAACGCGGAAGCGAATAGGAAAATGAAAAATGCGCACTGCTGAGATGAGGCAATCCGGCGGGGGCGCGCCATGGCGGAGACAAGAGGAGGTGAAACGAAATGCAAAAATGGAGGAATGGCGCAAAAGTGGCAGTGCGGGGTGGAATTTGTCATGTGGCATGCCAGCCAGATTTCGGGTCAGATGCCAGGCTGTCCCTCGAGGATTGGTGGAATCGAATGGTGATTGGTGAATGGCGTGATGGCGATGATGGGAGCAGTATTGGTGCGATTCGTAAACGCGTTCCATATATGCCAGCGATGTAGAGGGTGGAGCTTGTCCGCGATTATGTCACTTCCACTGAAATATGACCAGTGTCTCTTCCTCCGGATGCAGTGTAGAGGCTAGCACAGCCATTTCTTGCATTTACACAGCAAGTTTGCAAACCAAAAATAATTATATCTTGCCACATAGCTTGGCAATAGGGAAACAACAGTCACTCTAGACACACCAATGTGCACAAATTGGCTTGTGCACATAACCTGCTCCCATCAAAAGAAACAAACAACAAACCAGGGTTAATGAATCACACTAAGCCAAGCTGGTTCCCGCTTGAGTGCCTATATGTGCCATAACATTAGTTGGTGCACACCCAATTGTGGATGAACAATAGTTAAATGAAGCATGCATGCATGCTTCACAACACAACGTGCACGTACCATATTCTTTGGCAGAGCCAGATACACGTATATTACGGTGCGTTCAGCAACGGCAGCAACACAGAGACGCCTGAACACACACGAAGGTTGACAGCGATGGGATATTATGCAACGCTTTGCTTCGGGTACTGGGAAAACACGGGAAAGATTTAAGGTGCAGAGATGGCTGCAAGAGAAGTGAAATCGATTCTGGCTCGATGAGAAATTGAGAAGCGTAGAGAGGCTTACTCTGTACAGATTGAGGAGGACTACAATGAGGATGAAGGCAGCCTGCACGGCGAACGCGGTTCACATCGAAGGGCGAAAAACGTGGAAAAGACGGAGGGAGGACGGCATGAAAGAAGAAAAAAATGAGCGACAGTTCCAGGAACAGGCGATATAACACTCGTAATGCACAGCGCCGTTTGGCGCAACCTGAACTCGTATCGAACTTCGCTGTACCGAGTACGAAACAGCGTTCTCATATGTGATACCGTGTAGACGTCTGGCGCCATCACGGCCATGGGCCCGTTTTCGTTCCTCTGCTCTCGCCGCTGGGCGGCGCGACCGCCATTCCCCGCATTCGCGGTGTAGTCAGCCAAATCTTTCCCCGGGGGTGGAGGAGCCATGGCGAACAAATCTACGCAGCGTCTGGTTCACTAGGCTCCCTAACGCGAATTAGTACGATGATGACACGCAAAAGCCTATCACATTGGGCATACAGTCTCGTCAGCGACTACTACTCTCCAAGCGAGGGCGGCAATGGAATCCCAGCTGCTAACCCTAGTGAATCGCGTCGTGAGTCGTGAGTGGTGGTGAGGTGATGGTTGGGATATTTGCGCATGGATGAACAGAATTGAGACACAGGGAAACATGTGGATCAGGTGTGAGGGGAAACACTAGCGAAGGTCAAAAGGAAAGCAATAATGTGCATAATACCAGTGAGGCTACTTCCAGCGGTTTGGTGGAATATATTGCGTTGCAGAACGGTTTAGTCATCTTCATCAAGCGGTTGAGTAGTGTTCAGTGAGCTCTTCTGGTGTGCCATCCACATCATGGCATCACGGCTTCGCGGGCAACTTCACATCGTCAACTTCTTGGGGGTTAGAGGAACACCAAGATGACCATAATGGCCATCTTATACCCTTGTACTACGAGCGTATAAGATCCCCGAACAACACAAGTCGACCATAATGGCCATTGAGAAAGCAACCGTTTTGCAAGCGTTGCCAAATGGTTTGTGAACCTCTCAAAAAAATCGGCCACATGATGTGTATTTTAGGCCCTGTTATGCAGGCGTTAAAAGGCGTTAAAAGCCCAGGTTCAGGGACAGGCTACAGTAAAACGAGATGCCCTAGAACCTTCTTTGATAAACGAACGATCGGTTATCAATAAATCTCTCTTCCTAGCTTGAAGTTGCAACTGTAGATCTTGGAGATCTTGAACTCTTCAAGCTTCCAGATCTTGAGTGTTCTCTTAAAGAGAAACCACAACTCCAAGATCTAAATAAACAAATATATAAAAAATCTTTAGGGGCAAAATCCCCACTAGGCTTAGGATAACCCTAGCTCTAGATATCAATGTAACATCCGCGACCCTGATAACAACGGGCAACCGTGTGTTAAATATAAATCCTCCTTCACAATTTATATAAGATCAATATACAAGGCTTCAAAGATTAAACTAATCCCCACAAGGGGATAAGCTAGCCTTGATATTATCTTTGAAACTTGAGAGGAGAAAGAGGACTTGAAGAGTTGATGAAGTTTAACAAGTAGGTTGATAGCTTCTTGTAGAACTTAACCTTGAGGAATCACAACTCTACTTGTGTAGAAGAGTTTGTTAGGAGAACCAAAGACTTATAGAACAATCTCATTTCCAAGTTGGTAAGTTGGAGTTGGGAAGTGGGAATGAGCTTGCTAGCTCCAACCCCTTCCACAATACCCCTTGGGGCTCTTCCCAACCATGGCTTCCATGGTTGGCGAGTTTCTAGGCTTGGAGCCTATGTGGCATCTTTGTTTGGTTGAGAAAACCCAACTTATTTGTGTTATATGGTTGTTAGGTTCTTTGTATGGATTGTAACAACATTTGGCACATTGTGATTGGTTGGAAATCCAACTTTTCCAATCTTCACTTTGATGGGTTGGAAGTTTCCAAGCCTCAAGGTTGAGGGTTGGAAAATCCAAGCCAATCTTCCTTTCCAAACCAACTTTCCCGATTTCCTTCGAGTCGTTTCTTGTCGCGCACTTTCTCGATGTTGACTTGGGAACTATTGGTAGTTAGGCGGAGTAGGTCTGCGTTACAGCGCGCCCCAGAACCGAAACGCAACGCGATGCATCGCCAACCTCTCCCGTCCAACGGAGTGTGGGCGAGGTCCCTACCCGGCAAAGAGACACGGGGCCAGAGGTTGAGCTGATGTGCGACATATTGGACCGCAAACGGCCACAGAAAATGAGGAGCAACCGCATGAATCATGGAGGTATGAGCAACCTTTATGATCAAGCCAATGCAACGCTCAGCAATCCTATTTTGTTGCAGAGAGGCTGGAAGCGTGAACGACTGGATGATGCCCTCGTCTCAACAGAACTCCGCAAGGAGGCCGGAAGAGAATTCACCGCCCCTGTCAGAGTGCAGACACAAGACTGGAAGGTCCCGCCGAAACCACTCGCGTAGCTGGTGACGAGTAGCGCGGATCCGGGGGATCAAAACACCGCTGACGGCCGCCTTGCTGTGCAAGGAGAAAACCGTGGTGTAGCGTGAGTAGTCGTCAACGACCAGCAGGAAATAGCGCTCCTGGTCCGTCCCACTGACGGACGCGGGCCGGGCCCCACACGTCCATGTGGAGAGTCTGCAGAGGAGCAGTGGTCGGAGGAAACGAGGAGGAGTGAGGAGCGGCGCGCTGCCGCCCCTCGACGCAGGGAAGGCGCGGCGGGGAAGGCGAGCGCGGGAGGGGGAGCAGGGACCTAGGAAGGCCAGAGACAAGGAGACGGGAGTGCATGCTGCGGAGACGCGGCAGAGAGGGGTGACCGAGTCGGTGGTGTCAGAGAATAGTCTGGTGGGAGAGTACCCGTCACGAGCACGATGCAGCGAACTGACCGGACGCAAACACCTGACTCGACGCAGCCACATGACCTCACGCAGCCACATGTGCAGACGCAGTGGTGAGGGTGTACAGACTGGACCCAGGCTACCGAATGAACGTAGCAAGGTGACGTCCAGTACGGGAGCACGCACAAATCGCCACACGCTGTCCTCCAAGGATAAAGGTATCAAACCAAACATCCTGAAGGACTGCGTTGCTCACCAAGTTTGTCGAGAACGAGGAGAGGTGGAGGCCTGAGAGAGAGCCGGAGGGGACTGCCGGACACGGGAGGTTAGTGGAGGCTCGTGCTACACCTGGGCCCCCAGTGGGGTCAGCCAATGAGACTAGGACAGGTGTTGCGAGCGGTGTGACTCTGGTGTAATCACGAAAGAAGCAACGTGATGCTCCTGAGTCAAGTGTGAAAGAGTGCAAGACCTCAGCTGAGGCAGGACCAGTGGCGGTAGATGCAATGGTGCCTAGAGCTGCAGCAGACTTACTAGCACCTAGAGCGGTAGCAGACTCACTAGCACCTAGGGCAGCAGACTCACTAGCACCTAGAGCAGCAGCCTCTACACAACCAGGGACGTCTCGCTGAGAAACACAGTCGCGAAGCCGCTGCGGGGAGAAGGTCTCCTGCTAACGCTGCTGCCGCAGCTGTCCAGTACCCATAAAACCGTAACCTCCACCACCTGGACAGCCTCGCTGAATGATCCACTCACGAATCTGCTGTGGCGAGAGAGTGTCCGGGTGCGCGGGCTGCCGCTGCTATCAAGCACCTCCAGCACTTCCAACACGATAACCTCCACCACCAGGACGGCCTCGCTGAATAACCCACTCGCGAAGCTGCTGCTGTGATAGAGTATTTGTGTGAGGCAGTGGCTGCTGTTGTCCACCCCTAGACGCTGCTACGACCGTGATAGTGGCCATGACAGGCAGTGGCAGTCAGTAGCAGCGGTGCAAGGGCGGTATCAGCGACCGTTGTAGCTGCACCTATAGCAGTAGCGACTGTTGGAGTGGCTGTGGAGGCCAGTAGGGTGCGTGGACAGCAGGGCACGGGCTAGCGCAGTAACAGCGGCAGAGGCAGCAGTAGCAGCAGTAGCGCCAGCACCTGCAGCAAGGGCGGCTCGACAGGGCAGCAATAGCGCAGGCGGCAGCAGTAGCGCAGGCGGTAGCAGTAGCTCAGTAGCAGCAGCACAGGTGGCAGCAGTAGCCTAGCAGTAGTAGCAGCTGAGCAGTAGCAGCAACAGCAGCAGCAGCACCAGCAGCGGTTGCAGCAGCAGCAGCAGTAGCAGTGCACTTAGCAGCAGCAACAGCAGCAGCAGCGCTTAGCAGCAGTGCTTAGCAGCGCGCTTAGAAGAAGCAGCGCGCTTAGCAGCAGCGCGTGGAGCAGCAGTAGCTGCGTAGGTGGGAGCAGCAGCAGCGCGCACGTGCAAAGCACAGGCAGGGTGCATGCGTGTGCACGTGGTACACAGCACCGTAGCACAAGCGGCAGCAGCAGCAGCAGCAGCAGGCAGCAGCAGCTCAGGTGGCAGCAGCAGCGTAGCAGCGAGCTGCAGCTCACGGCAGGGCAGGGCAGCATGAGCGGTGCAACGCGCAGGGCAGTGCACACTCGAGGCAAGCGGCAGCAACAGCTTAGCAGCAGCTGCAGCGCAGGCGGCGCAGGCAGCGTGCGGGAAACGCGCGGCCACAGCAGCTGGCAGCACGCTGGCAGCGGGTGCACGGGCAGCGAGCAGGCTGCAAGGCAGGGCAGCGCGCGGGCTGCAAAGCAGGGCGTCGCGCGGGCTGGGCAGCGGGGCTAGGCAGGATAAATCGACACGCCTAGGGCGCGTTTTAGGCAGGATTAAAAACGTGACGCGCCTAGGAAATCAAAGACTTAACAGTGGGCCCTTCCTAATGGCTCGTAATACCATGTTGAAAGATGAGGTAGGGAATGATCGACTAGGTCAAAGGGTAGGGTACAAGAGAGTGTCGAGAGAATTTGATGTACCCCCTAACATGCAAATCACTATATGCTAGATAACTAAAGTGAATATAACTTTGACAAAAACAAAAGTTTCGAGCGTGTTGGTTGCAGAGAAAATGTGCGGTTCGAAAGAAAACGGCTCTGTTAGCCGAGCGTTACTACTCCCACTGAGAAATTGAGCGAGGTTTGCACTGAAAGGGAAAAGGAGTACAATGTGAGCGAATGCATGAGCGAACATTTATATAAAACAACCACAACCGTAACGTGGTGCGTGCTGTTACAATCCCAAAATGGGACTTAGCCAGGGATCGGCTCAGGGTTGTTCACATGTGATGTTGTAGTGGAAGTGTTGACCTCAGGTCAGAGTGAATGTAAAATGATTGAGATGATAAAAGACATGCATACATCGAGTTTATATAGAAAAGATACAGGAACTACGAAAAGTCCTGGACTAGCCATGTGCTCTAAGGGGTACATTCCCTTATTGCAGCGAAGTTCAAACCGTGCGGCGCGGGAACCTGTTTTGAACCAGTTCCCGCTCTTTCCACTTCAAATGTTAACTGCCTGCATCGGTCTTGATCTGA